AATGAGCACCCACCGAGCTTCCGGTTAGTATTTTTTAGCTTTTCTTGTCATATACCATCGATTCCTATCGTTGGGTACATTTTCCGGCAACTGGAGCTCTACTTTCACCTATCTCTCTACTTATACACTCCGACAACCGTCTTTCTTGACGTTTTTCAAGGTACAACGCCTCGAACTTGCTTTGTATTTTTATATTTTCATATCTTCGTTGTGCTTGATTACTACTCTTGCCGGAGTAGTCGTGATACATTATGTGGGTTAGACTTGTGTGATAGGCACGCCTTGCCGGGCGTGCCAATTTTTGTGTTGTTGTCGGATTTTTGAGTTTGTAGGTTTCTACTTACGACAAGCGCCATTAATCGATTTGTGCGTTGATTCAAAAGAGGAGTTGGTTGTGTTATATTATTGTGAGTATCGTTGAGGCCCCATGGCCCAATATTTTGAGCTTTCATGCATAAGTGTATTTTCGTCGAGTTTATGGAATTACGGTTATTATTTCTCCGAAATGCATACAAGCGGCCTTCATTCGGTGTCGAAGGACGGGACTCTCTTATACTTTGCATGTTATATGCCCGATATTTTGAGCTTTCACGTCTACGTGTGTCTTCGTCGAGTTCATGGAAGCACGGATATCATCTCTCCGAGACACATAAATGTGGCCCGTATGGTTTCATGTGTTCAACGCCTAACCATTCGGATGGCTTCATGTTGAGCTCGATTGATTTTGGATTATTTTCTCTATTTGCACCGAACGAACGCCATTAGACGCACGGTGGTGGCCACCACCGTGTCGAGTACGCATTTTCTTTTCCTATTTCCTTTTCCTTTAGTTGTTTCTTGTGTGTTCTTGTGTTTGATTTCTTTTCGTGTGTTCGTTTATTGAGTTTTGTTTGGTTTTTCGCATGAACTTGTGTGATTATGTGCTTGATCCTATGCTTTTTGGTCAAGCAATGAGGGCATTGCTTTGTTTTAAGTGTGGGGGAGGGATTTTCATGATTATGCATGTTCGGGTGATATTTATTTCGATTTTGGTGCTTTATTTTTCCGTTTTTGTCGTGCCTTGGACCGGTTTTGTCTAGTTTTTGCGTGTTTGTGTCGTCTCTCCCGCATGAAGCTTGATGTTCGTTCGAGGGTCGAAATAGCTAAGTAGTTAGTCGAGATTGTTGATTGGTTTCACTATTAACGTTTATGCTTTATGTACTTGATGAATTTGACGGTTTCCTTAAGTTAAATGATGATTCATTGACATTGGAACCCGCATGTGGATTCACGTAATTGTTTTGTTCCTTGTTTGTTTTCGATTGATTGTCTTGAGGCATGCTTTCCTTATGCTCGATGATTGTTGAAAACGTGTTATCTATACACTTGTGGTACATTTCGATTGAGTTGAGATGATTATGTTATTGTAATTGTGATGTATCCTTGTGTGCCTCTCCCTAAAAAAAAAGAAAAAAAGAAAAAAAAAGGAATAAATTGTGAGTTCGCGAGGAAGTAAGGATTAGGCTGCTCTTATTCCGGGCCATTCGTGAATTGGGATAATGAGCCCGGGAAACCGGTTTAGGAAACTCGGGGAAACCCCTCGAGGTTAAACCTAGATCCTCTCGTCCGGAAACCTTGTTTGGAAAAAGAAGCTCACGAAATGAGTTCGTGAGAGTTGAAAGGATTAGGCTCCTCTTGGCTCGGCTAATCTTCTAGATAGATCGGGTCAATGAGCACGGAAAACTGGCCTAGGAGACTCGGGGATAACCCTCGGGGTTAAACCTAGGTAATAATCATCCTAACGACTCTCATTTGGAAAAAGTGACTCATTTAAAAATAATAAAAAAAAAAGAAGAAGAAAATTGGGGAGTTGACTTATTGATCTCGTGCTTATCATTTCATGTTTTGTAGATCGTTTATGGTTTTTGCACGTATATGTGAATGAGGGGGTTTGACTCGAGTGATCATTTGTGGAATGACTTGGGACGAGTTTTTGTTTCGTTTGATTCACTATGTGGGACCGTGTCTCGGATTTGATTTTGATTTTAGGGATACACAAATGATAATGAGAGATTCATTTCGCATGTTCGTTAATTTTGGACAGTTCGATTTATCTCTTCGAGCTATTTATTATTTTGTTTGCTTGAGGACAAGCAAAGAGTTAAGTGTGGGGGAGTTGTTTGTTATGTTTTTGTGGTATTTTATTGTGTTTTATGTGCTTGAGTCGAGTCATTTTTAGGTTCGTTTGAGTGTTAACCGGTCTATTTTGTCGTATTTTATGTGTTTTTGCTTTTGTTATGTGCTCTTGTATTTTGTCGTATTTTTGGAGTCTCTTTTGGTGTTTTGTTTAGGTCCCATTTACAATTTCGAGAAGACGTGCCATTCATGCCATTTTTGAACCATTTATCCACTTAATCGAGCCGCGAGCCAACTCCCATGAAGCCTCAACACTCGCTGCGAACTCGGACTGGCAACCTGCGAAAGTGCCATGCACACAACATCACGCACTCGCTGCGAACTCGGATTGGCAACCTGCAAAAGTGGCATGCACACTAGGGCTGCACAATCGGTCAAAACCGAACCGAACCGACCGAAAATTCGGTTAACCGAATTTTCGGTTCGTCCAATATTAAAACCGAAAACCGAACCGAACACTACGGTTCGGTTCGGTTTCAAACCAAAAATTTATCAGTTTTTTCGATTCGGTTATCGGTTATCCGAAAAATGAAGAAATGACAAAAAAAAAAAATTACATCAAAATTGGTTCAGCGTTCACAACAATTTGGAAACCCATAAGCCACAACCATTCAGCTCAAATCATAGGCATAAAAATTAACCTAAAAAACATGAGCTCAAATTGGGTGGGTGCAGCCCCTACAACGAATCACGACTCACAGGCCCAAAGAAGAATGAGAGATTCAAAGCCAGAAAAGAAAATTACGAGCATTTCGACGGCCTGCCGGGTGGAGTGTGTGCGGGAGCAGGAACGACCGACTAGCAAGGCGATTTGGGATTTTAAAATTCCGACGATTTGGGATTTCAGACTTCAAAGCGCCAACACCGAGCAACCGGAGATCGAGCGGGTGATTTTGTGCGGTGCGGTGGACGGGCGGAGAAGATGCAGTGATAGGTAGGGTATTTTTCGTGGTGGATGAGACGATGAGCGACGGGAGTGAGTCTGTGAAATTCTGTATTTATGACAGATTGGAATTGGATAATTGGTATCATATTTGATGGAATTGGATAAATAAATTGGGTCTGTGCTTTGTGGAGTAATAAATTGGGCCTGCCCTGTTAATTCCAATCAATAATGTAATATATAATGGGCCATATTTAACTTATATAATATCGGTTTTCGGTTCGGTTCGGTGAACCGACGGATTGTAACTAAACCGAACCGAAAACCGAAATATTAATAAACTTAAAACCGATAACCGAACCAATTTGTCGGTTTCGGTTTCGGTCGAAACTAAATTTTCGGTTTCGGTCAGTTTCGGTCGGTTATCCAAAATCTGTGCAGCCCTAATGCACACAACATCATGCACTCGCTGCGAACTCGAATTTGCAACCTGCGAAAGTGGCATGCACACAACATCAAGCACTCGCTGCGAACTTCATTTGGCAAGATGCGAAATGCACTTTTTAGTTGATT